GATGGATGGGCAGGTGCTGGTCCCAGGAATGTCATACAGCCCCCTGAAAGAAGCCACCCCTTGCCTGATGCCTGTGAGCTGGTGCTGACCCAGGCTCTCTTCAGGGACGCCCCTACTGAAGCCAAGGGGTGCTGTGGGCTGCCACCCTCACTGCTAGGGCAGCTACTGGGTGCAACAGATCTGTGGGATCCAGCATCCCTGATTCCCTTCTCCTTTGTGTTTATGCATCCAAAACCAGGTCTGGAGTTGCATCTATGGGTGCCCTCCAGCACAGCTGACCCCGTAAACAGCTCAGTGCAGGTCCCTTCCCTTCTCCGGAGTTTAAAATAGAAAAACAGAGAGCGAGGCTTTCTTTCACAAAATTTCCAAATGCAAGAAAGTTTGTTTTGTTTTTTTTTGTTGTTGTTTTTTTGTGGGGGTTTTTTTGTTTGTTTGGGTTTTTTTTTTTGTTGTTGTTTTTTTTTGGGGTTTTTTTTTTTTTTTTTCATGGCAGCAAAGGAAGGCGTCGCTGGTTTCCCCCTGGGGCAGGATGTGAGCGGGACCGGCCCGGCCATCGCCACCTGCCGGCAGCGCTGGCTCCGCGTGTGCGCAACGCCTGCGCTCATCAAATCGGGGAAGCGAGGGAAATTCATTCACCCACACCCACGATTTATTCACGGAGAGGCTCGGCTGAAAGATGATGGGCAAAACAACTGTTTTCCTCAGTAAACCTGCGGCAGATTCATTTGTAATAACCTACGCTCTTTTCAAAAAGAAGCCTTTCTCTGTTCATTCTATGCCGATGTTTTACCCCGCCACTCTCTTCTTGACAAACATGTTAGCTTTCCTAAAAAGGGTTTATGGATGAATTCTTAACAGTCAACAAAAATTATTTAACTTTACACATTCAAAGGATCATAGTGATCAAGAGAAACTTTTCTTTTTTAATATCAATTTTTTAAAAGAGGCTGTCTGATTGTTTTGAGTTGTTTAAAGTGATAGAAACTGAGTCAGAAAAGCAGAAGCAGAAAAACCCCCTCTGGTGCTTTCCATGTGTATTTTTCATGTAGATGCCTCCCAGCCAATTCCCTGCATCACCCTGGCAGCCCTTGGGGTACACTGTGGTAGGGGCAGGGAGCAGGAGACAAAAAAGAGCAAGAAAAGGGTCCGTGGGTGATGGAAACAGTACCCACCATGGAACAGAGATGTCATTGGCTAATGCTGTTCAGCCAGCGTCTGAACCTGTAATTACATCCACCCCTTACCAAACTGAGATTCTTTTAAGGCCCTTGCAGGCTTAGGGCTCCCACTTCTAAGTTTTGTGGCAGGCAGTTGCTCACTGTCCAAATTACAGTCATTTCTGCAGGTACTGCTGAGGGGTCAGACTGCACTGCAAGGCAAGGGTCACTACGGGTTTGGAGAGCAACAGAGCTCGGCAATTTGTTCAAGACAAAAAGAAATTGTTGGAAAGGAAGCACATGTGTGGTTTGCTTGCATTTTTTTCACCATAGTGGGTTGTCTGCATTGAGATTAATGCGTGTGCCAGGGTCTGTCAAGAAAGAACTGGTTTCTCTCACTTGGCCTGCTGGAATCTCTAGTGAGTTCAAAGGTGAGAGAAAGATGCGTTATGGCCTTGCTGCCTTGGGATTCAGGACTGGATGTTCTAGGAGAAGAGAGATTCTTGGCTGTCCCATTGTTACCCTGCTTGACCTTGGGCAAGATCCTTTCTCACTGCCTGTGTCCCCCAGCCTGGAAGTAGAAGATGGGAATTTCTGTTTGTGAGTTCAAAGTGCCACTGGACACTGGTTTCTGCAGGGTCTAACCAAAGAGTCAACCGAAATCCAAGTTCCCCAGTTTGCTCCTGAGATTCTGCCGCAACACCAGCACTAAGAAGAACTGTCTCCAGGAGTTCTGCCTTCCCTAATCTTTTCACGTGATGAAGCACAAGAGATTGATGTTGCAGTGAACCTACTGATTTCTACAGGCATTTGAAAAAAGCAGTAAATACCTCAGTGATTGCAGCCATTCATGAATGAAAGCAGTCTATACACGTGTTGATTCACAACTGAAAGTGGTAATAGAAGAGGTTAATAACACTTAAAGTACTTTGTGTCTCCCCACAATAGGTTTAACATTTTTTTCTGAGAGAAATCCTGCTATTTGAGAAGAGAGAAAAAAAAATTCTACAGAACCGAAATCCCATCTATATGCTCCCATTAAGTTTAATGAAAGAACCGCTTGACATATTTTTATGCTGATGAAGACTAGATGAATTAAAGCAGTGTTCCCACTTCCTCCTTTCTGCTGCTAATTGTCTAATTCAAGCATATTTATACAAAAACTCTGCTTATAAAGCAGGGCCATGGAAAAAAATCTCTGCAGCACCTACAGAAGCAAGGTGAACGCCTCAGCACGCACTGATTATATGTTTGCAGGTTCTCAATATAGAGCTCTGTTTTATGAGCTGCCAGCTTTCTGCACTCCTACAGCCACAGCAGCTTGACAGAATAAAACTGACATGCATCACACTTGGGTTGGAAGCATATTTTCAGCAAGTACTACAAAACCAAAAGAGTAAGAGAAAATATAATGCCTACCCCACCACTCCACTCCCTCAAGTACAATCTCTAAGAGCTATGTGGCAAAACCTGTGTGCAGGGGCCTTATTTGAGTATTTGAAACACTCTTTGAGCCAGACAATCATTTGCCACTTAATCCTTAATGAATACAGTTGCTATTTTTGCAAGCACGTCACACTGGTGAGAATGTTTGCTGATGGAATATCAGTGGGATGTGATTTTATTCTTATGAATAAATATAATGTGGTGTCTGTGCACATTTGTATGCACACGAGCCCTCTCCAAACTGCCGGAGTGTGCTGTATATCCAAAGTCCTCAAGAGAGAATAAACACCTGGGGGTAAAAGAGATCCCAGCTCCTTGTTTGTGCTTGTTCATAACAGAGCGATGCACTTCTTGGTGCACCTCAACAACAGGAAACTCTCTGGAGCACCAGATGTGGGTTGTTTGGCTTGACACGGGGTTTTCAACAGGACTTGGAGCATTCAGGCACAACAATGTCATTGCAGCAGTCAAGAGAAAAGGCAAATTTTCCTCAGCTGGTTTCTCTGAACTCCTTCTTTAGGGCAGGAAGATTAATTCCTTGCTCTGGGAGTCTATGATTAAGTGAAAATAAGTTTCTGAACTACAGAGGAAATCTCTAAAACATGACTCAAGGCGTCCTGTACCTCTAAAAGCAGAAGACAAAGAGGAACGAACTTTAGAACTGGCCAATTTAAGAACATTTCCATGCCTATTACTGCCTTGAGAAACAGGGATGGTCTGTCCACATCCACCTGTGTCTTTGGCAGGAGAAGACTGTTAGTGAGGAGATATCCTGGCACAGGGTTTTCAAGAAGACTTGGTTAACATAAAAGTGTTAACACAAAAATAGATATAAATAATCCTTTTAATCAGGTACAAGATTGTTTCATTGTGTAGTAAGGAAAAGTGGGGAATCTGATTTTCTCAACTCTCTTCTTCCCCCTCCAGGAGTCTCCTTGGATGGGCCAGCCATCTGGGACCCAAACTACTGGCATCTCTAACTCACTTCACCCCAGAAAAAGCAAAGAAGAGTAAATTTAGTACCACAAACTAATCCCAGAAAGATGCTGTGAGATTTATTTGAGGATTTAAAATTCCCTGAAATCATAAGATGAAAGGGATTTTGAAAATGCAAATAGACAAAATATTTTTTCCCTCAGTCACATTGAACTAAGCTATTTAAAAGCCAAATAAGACAGGCAGGAAATTTTCATTTTGAATTTGTTTGTGGAGCAACCATTAAACGCTTTAGTTTTTTAAGCCCTGTATTTTCTGAAGAAACAATGGACCATTTCTTTATAGGTGCTGGTAAAATCTGTTACAATAACCTCTTGAAGGGCTGCTAGTAAAACCATTTAATTACATGGCACTTAAGAATGTCTGAGACTGGTGAGATTTTCCCATTAGAGAAGAGAGGTAATTCATTCATCTATTATTCTAGGAGAGGTAGAAACTAGACCTTTCTGTTTAAATCTAGTTTTTATTAGTGTTAAAAGGCTCAGAGGAGGAATTCTATTGCGTGTCAAGAAGTGCTGGCTAGAGCCGCAGTTTTGAAGGAGCACCTTCAAATCGAAAATTACATTTTCTCTGAGATGTCGCACCCCGACTGCTGTCACAACACCTGAAAGCACCATAAGTGGAAGAGATGAGGTGAAAATTAATGCTTCTCTCCCACCATTTTCCTTTTATTTGTGTGTTTGCCAGCTCCTCCGGGGAGCAGGACAGTGGCTCGGCGAGGTGAAGGGACGGGCACGGACTCCAGCCAAGCTGTTTTCCTGGGAATGTTTCTCACCATTGCTGTGTGCCCAGCTCACCCCGGGCACCTCTTTGGCTTTGCCCAGACTTTTTCCCTGTGGATGCGGAGCTCGGCTCCCAGCCCTACACAGCCAGGAAGAGGTGGCTGAGGGAACGGGTGCCCTGAGGCAAAGGGCGCGTCAGCGTAGCCCTAAGGCTGCTGATGCCTATTCTTTATTATATTTTTTTTTAAAAATCATTTTTAGATCCTCGAACGGAAGATCTAAAAATTATTTAAAATCGGGTCTTCAGACCGAGTGTTTGTTTGACCTCCCGCGCGAGCGGCCCCTCAGGGCGGCCCCCGCAGCGCCCCCTAGAGGCGCGCGCCGCCACCCGCTCCGCTCTCCTCAACTTGCCTTTGGCGCCCAATCCGCCCCTCGACGGGAGAAACCACTTCTCCTAAGTCTCCGGGGGGACCCCGGTGCCCAGGAGGCAGAGTGCCCTGCCTTCCCCGCTTGGCAGCGCCGTCCAAAAGGCCACCGAGGCACTTTAGAAGATCGGATAAAGGAAATTCCCGCTGCTCCAGGTGGTGTCACTTCTTCAGCGGTACATGAGCGCGTTCTCTGCTCGGCAGTTCTCCCTCCAAGTAGTGCTGAATGGTTCGCGCCAGGACGGGACGGGGAGGGTCCGCCGCCATTTTGTTTGCGTGAGGGGTGCGCGGGCCCTGTGCGGGAAGCGGGGGGCGGCTGAGGGGGCGGGAAGCGGCGGCGGAGACCCGCGGTCAAGCCGAGCGCTCGGACCGGAAAAAGACAGCGAGGGCGGGCTGAACGCCAGCCTGGCGGCCCTGCCCCATCCTCGGCAACCATGTACATCAAGCAGGTGAGCCGGCGGGATTCGCGCCGCCCGCAGCGTGCGGTGCGGCCTGTGCCCGGCCTAGGGGGTTGGCCCGGCCGGGGCTGGGGGCTCTGCGCCTTCACATGTGCCCGGCCCGCAGCGGGGGACCTGCGGGCTTGCGGCGGGCTCGGAGGCCTTTACTTCAGTCTTTTCTGTCCCGGGGGGCGGATCGAGGTCCAGGCTGAGGGAGGCGCGCCCGGCCACGGGTCAGGTCCTACCGCCGGCTGGGCTGGCGGCGCTTTCTGTCCTTCTCTGCTCCCCTTTCATTCATTGCAGGTGTGAAGTGGCGCTGGGGCCCCTTTGTACGCCAGCCCCGGTGTCCCGGCCGCGGGAGGCTCGTACCCAAACAAAGGGCTCTGCTCAGCTGTCAGGAGCCTCTTTCAGAAGCTGTTCACATTGTGGGGTCTCTGCCTTGGGGTGCTCAGGCCCCCGGGCATGAACCATTTCACCTGTTATGCTTCACCCTTGCCAAACCATCTGTGGCCGGTGCTCAGTTAAAAAGATCCTGGTATACACCTTTTTCAAACAGTTTTTGAGGTCATCACTATATTACTTCTGCAATTTCCCTGCAGCTGCTTTAACACAGATTTTTATTCCTGCTTTCGTGTTGCTGCATATGTGCGTTCATACAAAGCATACCAGGATTCTCATTTCCTGGTGGACTCAAAATTGACCTGTTTCTCACACCCTGTGGGTGTTTTTCTTGAGAATACTTCATTAGTTTGAAGGTGCGTGTTCTACATAGGTACCAGGTTTTAATCTGCTGTTTGGCTGACTGGGCAGTGTTTCAAATGCCTTTTGATTGTAATTTTGTAAATCACTCTTGATTAATCATCATAGATGGGCACGTTGCTTTAAAGACTTTGTATAAGAGTTTTTGTTCTCCAGATTTGAATTACTCAAAAGCAAGCAGTAATGGAGGTATACAGAGCAAGTCCAAAATAACTCAGAACAGGGGAAGTGTTTCATTTTGAGGAAAACAAAACGAAGGAAATTTGGCTGGCCAGTACCAATAACCAATATTGTTACAGGAGTTATAGAGGAACGTGTAACAATGTGTGGATGTGAGAAAGAAAAGGATGAGAATTAATTTGATTCCATCAGTATCCTCTATTGTTGTTTTCCAGAAGTTGTTCCCAGAGTTTGAACATTAAAAATGTTTAAGTCTTAGTCTGGTTGATACCAGGCAATGAAGAAATCATGAGCTCTCAGAATATGTAGGGTGGATGAAGTGATAAACCATCTAGAGAAATGCTCTGGGGAGAAGATGATGGTGTTCAGTCTGCCTGTATCCCACTCCCGTGGTGCCTGAGTGTGGCTGGTGAAATTTGTGCTTCTGTAGCAATACTCAAGAAATAATAATTGTTTGGATTTATAATTTTGTAGATAATTTTGTAGATAATTTCCGGTTTTTACAAGAATCAAGTAAATTATTATTCCAATTCAGATGTTCTTTATATATTATGTGAAAAAAAGAAAAGTAGTAGAGACCAACTTTTTTGCCCATTTTTAAATTTCTCTCTTCCCCTTGAAATCTCGTGAGTTTGGAAGCAGCACTGTCTCAAAACGTTTGCGTTTTGTAAAACACTTTTTTTGTAAAATAAATTCAATCAAAATGAATGAACACAGTTGCTGTGGCCTAGGGTCAGTGGCAAGACCTGGTTAAGATATTCTGTTCCTGCCATTGAGTTCTGAAATCCTTGATTGCTTCCAGAGCAGTGGATGCAAATACAGTGCAGGTGGTTAAAGAAAATTGTGTCTGGCCTGAGGAGAGGGAGCACAGACACTTGCAGTGCAGAAGAGGTTTATAAACGTTAGGCAGAGTATTGAAGGAAGCTGTGTTGGAACACTCTTCCAAAACAGCTTCTGCTTCAGTCTGATGCTTGATGGTCAAGGATTAGTAATTTGCTGCCCACCTGTATTCTTAGCTTCAGGTTCCAGTAATGAAATAATTCTGCAAAGAAAATTTGACCAGGGTGCTATGGTGCCTAGGAAGAGAAGGGCTCTTGAGTTCTAACTAAAAGCTGGTTAACGCCTTAAAGTTTTATTTAGTTTTGATTTTTATAAATTCCAGTGTTTGATTTGCTATCTGACATGGCATTTTCATTCAGTATTAGTGAGATGGTTTTAATCCATTAGTACAAACAGGTGGGAAGAGGAGTTTTCCACAGCAATACTTGATAGTGGCCTCATGGTGCCTAGGAAGAGAAGGGCACTTGAGTTCTGACTAAAAGATAGGTAATGCCTTAAAGTTGTATTTAATTTTGATTTTTATAAATTCTGATACGGCATTTTCATTCAATATTAGTGAGATGGGTTTAGTCCATTAGTACAAACAGGTGGGAAGAGGAGTTTTCCACAGCAATACTTGATAGTGGCCTGTCACATAATGGAAGAAAGACTGAAGATCAAACTTGACCTGAATAAATATGGGCATTTTCTTCTCCCAGTCTTTTGTCCAGTACTTTTTGTGGACAGGATTTTTTCCCTCACTGTTTAACACTACCAGAATGTGACAGAATATGAATGCAGCTCTGAAGGTAGATGTTTCTTGAGGTGCTGGGGTGTACACTTAATAGAGGCCTTCATGGTATTGAGGAAAGGCTTGCAGCTTGAAAGTTTGCAGTACCACTTCTAGGCTTTTTGCTAAAGTTCTGTATGTGCTTCTTGAATAAAAAGTATTATGCTCATTTTCTGGAATATGGGCTCCTTTAATACTTGAATGTGTGAGAGAAGGAACAACATGTTCAGAGAAATTGAAAATGGTGATGGGGCCATAGACCTTACAAACAAAAAATCTAAGTAATTTCATATCTTAAGCTTCAGCACTAATAATGTTGAGAAGCATCTTGCAAGCTGTTTTTGTGTCTTCTTAAGAAGTAATTTTTAGTGTATTATAGCTGTCCTACTGAAACACTGACACTGTTTTAACTGCATCCTGTTTCTGTTGGGGAAGAGCTGGGCAAAGAACACAGCTATTAAATGGGAGCTGTAGTCCTGTTCCAAGTGTTCTTGCTGAAAGATCTGCAGGTGTCAGACCTTCAGGTGGCTGCTGCCTTTCTGTCACACTGTGCTGTCACTGCTGCTTTGCTGTGGGGAACAGGGTGCTGGATGCTGGAGGTTGGATCAGTTTCGTTGCTATGCAGAGCTGAAGTTTTAGGATATTGTAATTCTGTACCTGGTGTATTGCTAGGCCTGACAAACCTCAAAAATGCTGCTGAAATTAAAGAGTTGAAGTTGATGTTGTGCTTTCAGATGACTTTGCTGCATAGCTCTTGAAGTTATTTGTGTATGAAGTTATATGTGTATTTTTGTGTCTTTAGGCTGTGAATTGGAGCCAAGACAAGCTTGCTTTTATGTGTCCCTTTAGATTGAATAGTAAAATGATACTATTGCATGTGAAATAGGCAGTCTGGTACAGTTTTTGCAGCCTGCAGTGGCACTGCTTGGAGAATTTGCCAATAAAATTCTTATGCTGTAAGTAGATTGCATTATAAAAATTAAAAATAAGTGCTTGTTATACTCAGTTTTCTTTCCTATATATGATCCTTTAGGCAAATACATTTTTTGTCTAGTTTGTTACAAAAAATCCTCTTGGAACTCTTGTGCTTGCTGTGCTTTGGCGTGCACAGGTACCAGCATCTCTTGCTAGGGGAGAAATCTGTCCCTAAACCGATGCTTAGGTGGGGACAAGTTTGATGCAAGTTTCTGATCTTGAGCTGGAAAGTTGAGTGTGTGCAGGAAGAGTAGGCAGATTACAATTGATATAAATATTCTGTCAAACCTTGTAGTAGAAAAAGTGTTCAAGAACAGAGAGAACTTTGTTAAAATAACTCCCTCTTCTCACCAGGTAATCATCCAGGGCTTTCGAAGCTACAGGGACCAAACCATTGTGGACCCATTCAGCTCTAAACACAATGTCATTGGTAAGTTCTGATATTTTTATCACTAGTTAAAACTGCACTTTTATTTCAGATGATATTCATGTTTGTCTTCTTTATAGTTTTTAATGTTCTGGTTACATTTGATGATTATATTCTGTTATATTTGATGATTATACTTCTGTATGTAATATACCACAGGGTGTGTTCCACTTAGAGCAAACAACTGTTAATGTTCAATTTTGGGGAAAGGGCCACTGTCTTGTACTCAAGTGTTTCATCTACCTAGTTAATCTCATTCTGGGTTATATTTGGTTTCTGCTTTTGAATATTTTTGTGTCACATTTAAGATACATTGCACTGTTAACCTATGTCAGCTGTAACTTATACTTTGTGTTCTAATTTTCAGTGGGAAGAAATGGATCTGGAAAAAGCAACTTTTTTTATGGTAAGCATGGATTTCTTGTTAGCCAAGGGATGCTGAAGATACCAGGTTTCTTTGCTTGTTTTTGCTAGAACTTGGTTTAACAAATCATCCTTCTCAATAAGGAGCAGCAGATTGGAAATTATTTGACAGTGATGAAAGGCAGATCTCAAGGCACTTGTTTAATACTTAGTCCAGGTTTTTCCCTAGAATTCAGCTGCTCTTACTAAGGGCCTTCTAAGACTTTCAGCTGGCAAAAGTGTTTACAGGAGGAAACTGATTCTAAAAGTTGCCCTCCATGAAAGGCAACTGTGAAACTGTGATATTTGCTGTTGTTTTAGACATCCTTAGTGGCTAATTTTTACTCCATAGCAGTTTGGCACAGCTTAGACATTCTTTTAATAGAAGGTTATGAGGGGGATTTCAAGAGGTGGGAGCATTAATGGAGGAGCAAAAATGCTAATTAAAGGTGTTAGTAGGCTTTGTGACAGTTGTGTTTATAAATTGTCTAATGGTAAGTATTTTAGCAATATTTTTAGCCTAGCCTATGTGCTGTGTATATGAGAAAGGAAGCTCATGAATCCCTAATTGTTCAGCATTGTTAATGATTATGCAGTGAACCAGTAATGTGGCAACAATGACTTCTTCAGATAAATCCTGCTGTACAGCAGGTTGAGTGATAAAGATCCAGCAGATTAAGGTTTTTAATGAAGAAATATTGTAAGATTTTAGCAACAGCTTGATTGTGTTATACAACAGTAAACCAGTGTGTTTTGAGTTAATGAAACTGTTACATGTCTCCCTGAAGGAAAGAATAAATTTTCTGTTTCTTTACTATTTTATTACAGCAATTCAGTTTGTCCTCAGTGATGAGTTTAGTCATCTTCGCCCAGAGCAGAGACTGGCTTTGTTGCATGTAAGTGAATGTGTAGCAGCAAAACTAAAGAATAAGCTAATGCATTTGAATGGTACAACAAAAATGTTAAATTGCTGGGCTGTGGATGTTTTAAGCCAATTATTTTGAAAGTAATTTTCTTTGTTTCAGTTGGCAAAAGGGAATTTATTACGCAGTAGTACATTATGTTGATAATGCACACCAGTGAATGTGTAGCCAAGAATAATCAGAAATAAAAATGTGTGCTGGATCTTATGTAGATGCCCTTGCATCTCAAGTCCTTGAAAGGAAAGGGGAAGTGGGGTCGTCAGGGAAAAGAGGAGAAGAATGAGTTCAAAATCTTTTCTAAGGTGGCAGCTGTCTAACCAGAACATCTCTTCTCTTAGGAAGGTACAGGTCCTCGTGTTATCTCAGCATTTGTGGAGATTATATTTGACAATTCCGACAACAGGTTACCGGTAAGTTCAGTGAACTGCTTTGGACATGGATTATCATTTCAGACTCAAGTGATCTCAGTCTTATAGAAGCCTTCAGCATGATACCTGCTTTTGAGTCATTGGTAACAAGTGTCATAAACGTTCTGGTGTTAGTTACTGCTGCTTGCAGTAGGTATGTGTATTTACTGGGCTTTGTTTTCTTAAGATTGATAAAGAGGAAGTGTCACTTCGGAGAGTCATTGGAGCCAAGAAGGACCAATATTTCTTAGACAAGAAAATGGTGACGTAGGTACTTCTTTTCCTTATCTGAATGAGAGCAGTAGTATTTCTGTAAAATTCTGTAGGCAAACCCAACACGTGAATCCCTAGCATGAAATAATTTATTTCTGTTGTGTAATACTGAGTGGCTGTAGTTTGATAGCTGGAACATCAGTCCTTGTACAATAGACAGCAGACTTTGAATTTGCAGTTTAATCCATCCATTGATGTGGTGTTTAACTGCTTGCATAGTATTTCTTTCAGGGGTTTTTGAAATAGAAAAGTTACCACACTCTCAGTGGTTTTATATCCTTCCTTGTGACATGTTTGCCTGTATTTCTCTCCTCTGTGCTTCGAGGTGCTTACTTCTTAATCTCTTTCAAATTCTATAGTATTTTCGTTATTTTCCATTTTTATTCTCTCATTTCATTTTAGAATTAGCCATTTTCAAATAAAGAAGATTGTTCAAACAGAGCATGCATTGCACATGGTGATATGTGATGTATAGATATGATACTTTACTGCATTTTTATAGCTCTCACTTCTATGGTAGTTTTTAATGGATTCATAATAACATTTCAGGAAAAACGATGTCATGAATCTTCTTGAAAGTGCTGGATTTTCTCGCAGTAATCCCTACTATATTGTCAAACAAGGAAAGGTAAGATTCTTTTTCATGAAGTAGAAGAATCATTGTCAAGGATATCATGTTTCCTGGATGCCAGACTTAGTTCAGTTAGCTCAGAAGTAAACCAAAACCTAAATCTACCTCAGTTTGAAATAGTTCTTGTATGTCAATGCTTCTTTGGCAGATATTACTGTTTTAGTACTTTATGTTTGTTAAAAAAAAAAATAAATCTGTAAATGTTGATATTTAGCAGAGGGTTTTTTATCATGGTGATCTTTACAATCAGGTTTTTTTCCATATATTTAAATACAAAGCAAACTTGATTCCTGTGAAATAGTTCAGTATAAATGCAAAGATTTCTGGGCCTATAGATGAGGCAGCAAAGTAATGGTAGAGAATTTTAAGAGGTTGAAAATACTGTCAATAGAGAATGAATGGAAAATGCAGAAGTACCAAAAGTGAGCGCACATTAGGAAAAGAGCTCATGGCATGGGCTGTTTTATCTGGTGTTGATGATCCAAGCACCTTTCTAGAGCTTTCAAAGGACACCCACATCTGGAGACAAAGCACAGACTACTTGTAATGGCTCACAGGATGGATCATCAAGGAGACTGGGAGCTGTCACCTCCAAAGGTTACAGGAAGGTGTACTTGGAGAGGAATGCAAGAGGAGAAGACTTGAGGAGTACTTGATGTCAGGAATGCTAATCCGTAGTAGAGTCTGCCAGATGCTTATCAAGATAAATTTTCCTATGCAGCTGGATGTGTGCATTTGAAACAAACAGCTTGATCTGGAAAGTCACTCGTAGTGGGGATTGGTGCACACTTCTTACCAGCCAAAATACACAAACTGGTTTTAATATAAGACAAATTAGAAACAGTTACCTTCTTAGAAAAGCATGCAGCCACTGAAATGCTATTGGAAGGAAGTGGGTTTTATGTTGGGTGTAATTGTATGACAGATTTGATGTCATATTAATGAGTGTTTCATGATGTGAATTATTCTAAGATTTATAACCCCTGCATTTTAGTGTGATTTTATGGAGGCATTTAAACTATTTCATTTAGCACCAGGACTTAAAAGCCCAAGCTTGAGTCTCTCTAAATATAATTTTGAGTGATTTATTATTCTTTCAGTGTACATAGTACTTGTATCCTGAGTTTTAGCAACAAATGGTAGCATTTGAAAGGCAACAAATTTCATTACAAACAGAATACTTGCTGTCCTGAAGTAATTGTCTCAAAAGGAAAGCAGTGTGGTGTATGCTATGTATCTGAATCTTCCTGCCAAAACCTCAGGCAAGCAGGCAGAGCAAGAGTGCAATCTTTGCTCTGTTGTGGTTAGCCATACGTCCAGAGCAGGTTATTGAAATCATAGATCTTGAATTTTCAGATCAACCAGATGGCCACAGCTCCTGACTCTCAAAGACTGAAGTTACTAAGAGAAGTAGCTGGTACCAGAGTGTACGATGAACGTAAAGAGGAGAGTATTTCACTAATGAAAGAAACAGGTAAAAATTTAAGAAATTGCTGCTTTTTGCCACAGTAATTCAATTAACTCTGAAACTTCAGGCTTTTTCAGTAAAGCTAGATAGATGTTATTTGTGGTATGTTAAACAATGCAGAGCTTGTCATATTTCTTTCTTGAATTTCCAATATCTCAAAAGGTTTAATAAGTTACTTTCTGTGTGCTTTTAGTAATAAAACCTTTTAGCTAAGCTAATACAGATAAATTTAGTGTTCAAAACATATGAGTGATGTCAGCTGGCAGTGATCCAGAAATCAGGATACCTACTGCTGTGCAAACACTAAAGTTCATGTTGTACAGTCTGTATTAAGTGTGTGAGCCAAGAGAGTACATGCTTGTGTTGCCTTACGTAACAAGTATCAACAGTTCTGCTGTTGGGATGTTTTTTTGGAGAACTTTTGAACACGGGGTATTCTTACATTTCATGTATGTTGACAAATTGTGAATCACTGGAGTAGATTCAGTGGCTGTAAAGATGGGGGATTATATTACAGTGTTTAACTGAATTTCAATCGTGTCATGTTTTCTAAAGAGGGCAAGCGAGAGAAAATCAACGAGTTGTTGAAATACATTGAAGAGCGACTGCATACTCTAGAAGAGGAGAAAGAGGAGCTGGCACAGTACCAGAAATGGGATAAAATGAGGAGAGCATTAGAATACACCATTTACAATCAGGAACTTAATGAAACTCGAGCTAAGCTTGATGAGGTAAAATATCTTGGCTAGTACAAAATGTAATGAGCTGTTGGTTTGTTTTTGCTACCATCTCCTTGTGATCCTTGGTAGAATCCTGACAGAGTTAAGGAAGCTTTCCTGTCCATCCAGGAGCCACTCTGGCAGTCAGAACTGCACTACCTGAGCTAGGACTGAAACCCCTTCCCAGTGAGGGTGCCTCGCTTGGCGCCCTGCACCACACTCACAGTCAGACCGGGTTTCCCATAGCAGAGTCTCAGATATCTTGATCCTGAAAATAATTTAGTCTTGGTGCAATAACTAAATAACCAAAGGAAGGTGGGACCCAGCAAAGGAAACTGGCTTTTTATCCCAACGGAATAGAAGCCTGGGGCTTCTGCTGTCTCTGAGTGCCACAGGTTCCAGTGCCCTTTGTTATGCAAAGGGACATTGGATTCTCTTGTCTGTGGCTTCCACCACCAAGAACTTAATCTGCAGCAGTCTGCAGCTGCACACTGAACTACCTGCATTGTATGTACTCACTCGCTGTATGTTCTCAGCATCACTGTTCTTCACTAAATTATTTTCTTTCTGGAACCACTACTAAAGGGGATTCTGCTACTTAAGCTATTGGTGATATTTCCATACAGCTTTCTGCTAAACGAGAGACAAGTGGAGAAAAATCAAGGCAGCTGAGAGATGCACAGCAAGATGCTAGAGATAAAATGGAGGTAAAAATACTTTTAAAAGGGCTCTCCAGAGGTGTGTTTTGCTTTTGGTTTTGGGGATTTTTTAGAGGAGGTGAGGAGGGGCAAGTGTGAGGGCTGGTGGTGTCTATATTAAATTCAGCTGCGTGCTTTCATCCTGTTTGGAAACTTGGGGTTTTTCCCACATCTAGTGTATTGTGATCTACAGAATAATGATCTTGTGAGTTTTGATAAATAACGAAATTCATTCAGTGTTTAAGATAGTGCATACTTAAATTTGCACAGGAAATAGAACGGCAAGTTCGAGAACTGAAGACAAAGATTTCTGCAATGAAAGAAGAGAAAGAGCAACTTAGTGCTGAAAGACAGGAGCAGATTAAACAGAGGACTAAATTAGAGCTGAAGGCTAAAGATCTACAGGATGAATTAGCAGGAAACAGTGAGCAAAGGGTAAGTAACACCAGTGAGGTCTTAAAGTGTCATTGGCACAAGGAAGTGTTCATGTACACTGAAGTTTTGGTTTTAGACTGGAGCCTGTCACTGTTTTGTGAAGTTTGTTAAATACTAACTTTAAATACTGCTTTGTTTGACTTTCAGAAAAGACTGCTAAAAGAGAGGCAAAAACTTCTTGAGAAAATCGAGGAGAAGCAGAAAGAATTGGCCGAAACAGAGCCAAAATTTAACAGCGTAAAAGAGAAAGAAGAGCGGGGAATTGCTAGGTCTGTGTCCTTCTATGAAAATGTTATCAGTGCTATCCATCTGCAGTTAACGACTTGGAGATGGTCTCTAAAAAGCCTGCTTTATGTTGGGGTGTGAACGGTATTCCGCAAAATGATTTTCTAAGCTTAACCACTTCTTGTGGATGTTTTTATTATTTATACATGATTCTTTTCTTTTTGTTACTGATTTGGTGCTCGAATTTTAGGGCCTGGTATGACGCTTTTTGAAAATTCCAATAGTAATTCTTAATGCCTGCTCTTAATAAATTCAAGATTTCTTTATAATTCAGCATGTCTTTCCCTTCTCAAAACAGACTCGCACAGGCTACACAAGAAAGAACAGATCTTTATGCAAAGCAAGGTCGAGGGAGCCAGTTTACTTCCAAAGAGGAAAGGGATAAGTGGATAAAGAAAGAACTGAAGTCTTTAGATCAAGCCATCAATGACAAGAAGCGGCAGATTGCAGCTATACACAAGGACTTGGAGGATACAGAGGCAAACAAGGAGAAGAACTTGGAGCAGTACAGTGTAAGTTTGCAGCTTAGTCGTGTTGAGAGAAGAGTTAAATACTCGCTCTTGGACAGTCAGACTTCAATGCCTGTTTATAAGGAAGATGTGACTTTCTAGGTGGATGTGGTCTTTGAAAAATACTTACTGGAAACATCTACAGATAATGCAATGCTAAAGGGTTTTAAAGTTTATCTTCACTCTGTATGTTGGCTTTGACTTCTGATACTTTCCCCAATGTGTTTGGCCTGAGTTATCAGGAATAGGTTTCTATCTGCCTTGCTCTTGTCTACGTTGAACATAGCCATGTCATAGAAAACAATTTGTTACATTCTTATAGAAGTCTGTATTGGTTGTTTTCACTTTTCTCATTTTCCCCAAGCAACAGGGTCTTTTTGACAATGAAGCAGGCACTGCACCCTTGTACCATGGTTGCAGCTAGTTGGAAGATACATTCCTAGGCATATTAGAAGATTAATCTGTTTAATTTAATTTACCTGCATAACTTGGATTTTAATTTCCATTCAGAAACCGCTCTTAAAGCAAAATAATCCAGAGATAGCATTCCTGCTAGGAGCTCCAGCTGTGAAAACCCTGCTTTTATATTGAGAGAACATACAGTGCCAGTGCTGATGGTCTTCTTGGTCTTTGTGTAATATACCTGCTGAAATTGAGGGTCAGGAGTGTAGTTGTACAAAGATGATGGTGTTCTGCTAAAATACTGCTTGCATTGGGACGCACATTAGCAAAGTTGTGATTTTCTGAGTTGGTGAACGAAGAAAATAGCATTTACCACTGGCTGACTGCAATTGTACTGTACTGCTCAATGGTAATTCTGTAGAATTGAAGGGGTTAAATTTGTTGTGGATTTTGATTCCTTTCTATAAACATGTCTTGGTTTCTTTTTGCTCCTCAAGGAAGGTTGATTTATGCTTAGGTGAAAAGTTGTACAGCTTTTTGTTATTCAAAGAGGAGGCGTCTTGGGTGAATGTGATTGAGAGCTTGCAAGGTTAGTTTGGAACGAGCTGGCTGTGTTTTTAGAACATAGTTAGTGCTCCTTGTACACACATAAATACATAAACACCATCGAGTGCTAGCCCTGAACTGCTTTGAAAATGGCAGGTGTTAAGTGAGCAAAGGGGGGATGTCTGTGCATTGGCTTAAACAGCACACTGTTGACAGCAGCTGTCTTGAAAGTCTAGTACTGCTGGAGAGCAGGCTAAGGCTTTTGACTAATAGCAGGTTGACATGGTACACAAGATTAGTTGTACTTATCACAAATGTCATTTCAGAGCATGATTACACAGAAGTTATATGTATGTTAGTTACTGTTTAGATTCCTGTTCTTGCTGTGACTTAGAGGGATCCATTTCACTTTATTGCCCAGAGGCACAGTTGAACTCAGTGCCTGCCTAGCCATCTGTGTGGCACCTACACATTGTTACTGCTTCTTTACAAAGCTGTCAAGAATTTATTCTTAGTGCTTTTGCAGTTTGTTGTAAGGTGGTTAAAATGTTTGTAGGAATTTTCTGAATTTTTAGTTCAGTATTGAATAAAATATTTTTTTAAAAAAATACAGAGAGCTGTAGTTTCATACTGTTCTTTTCTTTGTGTTAGAAACTGGACCAGGATCTTAATGAAGTGAAGGCTCGTGTTGAAGAATTGGACAGAAAATACTATGAAGTGAAAAATAAAAAGGATGAACTACAGAGTGAAAGAAAGTTAGTAATTAATTGAAATATGTCTCAATCTCACTTAATATGAAGGACCCCAACTGTGTAGTTGTTAACATGGCATGTAGGTATGTTTTTTAAATATGGCCATGTATGAACTGCTGCACTTTGCCTTCCCATTAGATTAGCAGTCTTTAAGAAAATAGTAATAAAGCATTCAGTTTGCATTCACACTTAAAAAATGTTATTGGTTTTGGTCTGTAGTTACCTATGGAGAGAAGAGAATGCAGAACAACAAGCTCTTGCTGCAAAGAGGGAGGATCTAGAAAAGAAACAGCAGCTTCTCAGAGCAGCAACAGGAAAGGTAAGATAACCTCAGTCTTGGTAATTCCTGTGGAATCTCATTCTTAAAGGACAAGTCAGTTTCATCTGAAAGATATGGTAGTTATTTTTAAAATTATGGTCTTTCTGTCATAATTAAGAGAACAAATTATATTCTGGGCTGAAATTTTTCAAACATTTAAAGCTCTAGCACTATTTGAAAATTAGTTTTGTGAGCTCAAAAAAGTTGATATGAGGAGACTAGGCAGAAATGGAATATTTTTTAAACTTCCTCTGATATCTGTTTGATTAAAAAAACCCCAAACAAAACTGAAAAGTGATGGTCTCTTATTTAGGTATCTTCTGTTAGAGCTGTAGGTTCGTTAACAGGAATTTGGCAAAAAAGGAGGTTGCACCTGTCACAAAGTTAAAGCTAGAATGAATATTATGCCCACTCATTTGAACTGCTATACAGTGATTAGCTGTATTTTACCAGGCCATTTTGAATGGTATAGACAGCATAAACAAAGTTTTGGAGCACTTCCGTCGAAAAGGCATAAACCAGCACGTTTTGAACGGCTACCATGGGATTGTCATGAACAACTTCGAATGTGAGCCAGCATTCTACACCTGCGTTGAAGTCACTGCAGGGAACAGGTAATTAATTATGTGTTGTTTACTGCAGTGTCACAATTTAGTTGTTGCAAGATTCTACTGAAATTTTATTCTTTTGAACTTTATGTCTTGCCTTTTTTTTGTCAAAGTGCCTTCTATAGAGCATGATCAAACTGCTGTTTAATTGTGAAGGATCTAAGAAGAATTCTGACTATTTAAATGATAATCCTAGCTCCTCCTGACTTTATCTAAAAAAACCTTAAAACCAGAGAGAAAAAAAACCCAAAAAGGTTGCAGACCCACACTCCTGATACTTGCCAGGGGGATTGGTGGTGAGACTGAATTATATTGAATAAAATGGACAACATCTTCCAGTGTGGAGAATTCTGCAGTAAACAAGGCTGATATTTCAGTAATAGTAAGAATTATTTCACTTGTACTAGAAAATCTCATGGTTGAGAATAGTCTCTAAACTGTCAAAAACTGCTGTCTAAAAGTTATCTGAAAAGATGTTGAGTGTTAGTGAGTCTGTGTAAAATGTTTTCTAGAAGAAGCAAATGTCTGTTGGGTGATCCACCACTTGCTGCACCATCTAGCTCTTCAGATTAATTAAGGATCATCTTTTTGTGTGATCAGTCCCGGTTCCAACTCATGAGTAGTCATAAAAGTTCTTGTTCTAATGAAGTGTAGATAATGGCATAAGAGCAGGAAAGAAGACAGAGGTGACATGATCTTGCAAAGTGTCACATATAAACGTTGATGCTACTGTGATTGGAAATGCAGTCTCTCCTGAGCTTGTGTCAGTGTGAGCAAGGGTGTCTCTTCCAAGCATTTTACAGTTCTCCCTTAATCTTGTTGTGCCCCATAGTTTGGAAAATGCTGTAACAAGCAAGCCGTAGTTCAACTTACAAAGGAAAAATCCCTTATTTCAGTCCCCCACAGTGCACAGGGAGATGGGGTCTCTGTCTCTGTGTGTGCTATATAGAGGCAGCAGAGGCAAACTTTGGAGATCCGTGCAGAGAGGTGGTGCTGTGTGTTGTGTGATGGAACTGCAGGACGGGTGTGGACACAGTGGTACTGTACACATCCTGAGCTGCTCCTGGCTGGACAGTGGAATGTAAAATTGTTGGCTAATCATATTTTAACCAAAGTGAAAAGAGCATCCACTTGCTTTTTCTAAGGCATGGAATTGGAAATGCAATGCAGCTTTATAATGATGTGTTATGTAATGGTATCTGCATGAATGCTGTCTATATACAAATATGTTTGTCCTTTTAGCATAGGAAAGTTTTGCCTACTTGTTTTACTTGTTAAACAGGTTGTTTTATCACATTGTGGATTCTGATGAGGTCAGTACAAAGATCCTAATGGAATTTAACAAAATGAACCTTCCTGGAGAAGTTACTTTCCTCCCTTTGAACAAGCTGGATGTTAGAGATACTGCTTATCCTGAGACTAATGTGAGTTAGAATTACTTTTGAACCTACCTTTGCTTCATAACTACAAAACCTCATGTTTTGAACTGTGTACATTGCTTATTGCCCACCACTTGCTTTTCTCTTTGTCTGCAGTTAAATACTACTTCTAATGTATACTTTTGAACATAAAAAAACTATGTTATAGAAAAACATTTTTCTGCAAGATGTCTGCTGTTTATTAACTGCACATTAGATGTGAAAAGGCAATGCTAATGAGTAGCATTTTATTGTAACCTGATACTTAAGAATTACTTTAATTGCTGAATTGTGATTCTCTCACTTCAGGATGCTATTCCTATGATCAGTAAACTGAGATACAATCCAAGATTTGATAAAGCTTTCAAACATGTTTTTGGGAAGACTTTAATTTGTCGTAGCATGGAAGTGTCTACCCAGCTGGCCAGAGCTTTCACAATGGATTGTATCACTCTGGAAGGTAAATACTGCAATTTCTTTATAAGTTATTTATTGCAAAAATAGGATTCCTGGGAAAATGGGGCTCATTAAACATGATCTGTTTAGTGTTGTTGAAATAAGATGATTAAAAATAATGGTATACATGACTGAGATGTTTACAAAAGGTTGCACTTGGTTAAGTACAGTGTTTAAAAATACAGGATTTCATAACGAGGTATGAAATTTTCTTATGCTCTGAATTTTAGTAGCAATGTATGTTTTTCCTGAGAATTACGAAGCAAATTAGGTTTGTATTCATCCGTTTTTTTATCCAATTTAACAGGTGTTTGTTTTCCTGGAGTGTTTATGGTGTTTTCTTCAAGCTCAAACCAGTGTTTAGGGTGTGAATATAAAGGCAGTGTGAATTCTTCTGTGCAACAGATGTATTTACATCTTATGTTCTCTGAAGTAATCTATATCTTTTGTTAATTGCATGTATTAAAAAGGATAGATTCCCTGCAGGCTACTGGTTGTCTCTGTGTCTTAAAGTCAATCTGAAAAAATTCCTAAGGGTGTCTGAGGTAGAAATTACTAATTTTTCAGTATCAGGATACTCTATAAGCCACAGATACTGCTAATTACTTCCTTTATTTCCTCATAGAAGACTTGAGATTTTTTTTAACTGGTAGTGCTAGGCATTTGCATTTTTCCATTAATATAAGTATTTTTTTTTCCTTCAAGCTACATGGTTTCAGAAGCTAATTAAAAACAAGCAAAAATGAGCTAATGCTTGAAGGAAATCCTCGCAGTCTGTGATGATCTTGAGAAAGGAAATAGCATTTAAATTGAATAGAGAAATAAACATTTCCCTAATTACTGTAAACATATGTGATTGCTGAGACATTCAGTGCTTTTGTAGCTTAGTTGAATTGTTCTGGTTGCACTGTGGAAACTGTGCTGGACTTTATGGCAAGCATGTAGTGTGCATTTTACATCTCATTCTGTTCTGCTCTTAGGTGATCAAGTCAGCCATCGAGGTGCTTTGACTGGAGGTTATTATGACACCAGGAAGTCTCGGCTTGAATTGCAAAAAGATGTTAGAAAAGCAGAAGAGGAACTTGGTGAACTCGAAGCAAAGCTCAATGAGAACTTACGTAGAAACATTGAGAATATCCTTTTGTTGTTAATGGGGAAGGTTGTGTGATGACAAAGCTTTTCTTTTGTGGTTACAGTAATAGGTGGAAAACAGGAGACTGACTTGTTACATATTATCTGTGGCATTCATTTGGACTGTTTTGTGTGCAGCCTGGTTTTCTGTGTTACTGTATTTGATATTTAAAGCTTAGAGGTGAGGTTAAACCCTAGATTATGAGGCTTTCTATTCCTTTTAGAGTCTGTTGTAGTAACTGCCATAACCAGATATTCTTGTTATCTGTATTAATCTTCACTGCTTCTTCTGTCTCAGGCTGTATTTTTAGTACTTGTGTCCTGAATTGATGTGTTACATACACTTATGCTGTGGAGGGGAGGTGGGAGAGCACTGTGTTGTAACGAGCTCTGAGTTGCTTGACAGTTTGGTTTTTCTCTTTGCACTGTGTCCTTTTGAGACCCAATATCTACAATTCAGGGGTAAGGGAGGTTTATACACTTTTCTTATATGTCACCCAGGTCATTCTGTCCTTCAAACTGAACTCCTTTGCTTCTGACTTGCATCAGTGCATTAGAGACATCTGTTCTGTATTTTGTAAGATCTGAGCTTTCCTTGCATGTTCAAATGTATCCTTGTATTCTTCCAAATATCATACAGTAAAATAAGCAAGGAAAATCTTCATTTAGCTTAGTTTCTGGTATTGATAAGTTACTTGATTAGTTGATAAGCTGCTCAGGGTATTTTTGTTGATGATTCTTGATTTTTCCTCTACAAGTGATCATTATGGCTTGGTGGAGTTTTGATTTGTTTCCTATTTTGGTGAAAGATTAATATGTCAAATAGAAAAAAATTTGAAGGTACTAGTAGGAATAAAATTATTTTTAAAACAAGGACAGAATTTTCCTTAGCCCACAGTATGGATTAATAATGAGATTGACCAGCTAATGAACCAAATGCAGCAAATTGAAACACAGCAGAGAAAATTCAAAGCCTCTCGAGACAGTATTTTGTCAGAGATGAAAATGCTGAAGGAGAAGAGGCAGCAGTCTGAAAAGACATTTATGCCTAAGGTTGGTATGGGGATATTGAGAACTGTTGCTTGGTTTATTTTAATTGTTTCATTAATGTTACTGATAAAATTGAATTTTCTTCTGTTTAACATCATAATATGAAATATGAAGAGATAACTAGAGATATGTTGATATGAACAGGTATAATTAATGTAAATCTAGAGATTGCTTTGAGGAGTGATTCTGTCTATCTGTCCCACAGCAACGTAGCCTGCAGAGCCTGGAGGCAAGTTTACATGCCATGGAGTCAACTAGAGAATCGTTAAAAGCAGAACTGGGGACAGATTTGTTGTCTCAGCTCAGTCTTGAAGATCAGAAACGTGTGGATGCTCTTAATGATGAAATCCGACAACTACAGCAAGTAGGGAAATGAAAATATCTTGCCATTAAATGTGGTACTTTTCTTAGCAATAAACTTTTATCCTTTTGTATGAAAAGTCACTTATGAATACAGTGTCAGCAAATTAGTGCTTCATCAGTAGTAGGTAGGTGTGTTTAAAGTTCTCTCATTTCCAAAGGGTATTTGCAAGTTTTTCTCAAACACTAAGTGAATTTTGCCAGTTGATTGTGTGAGAATTAAGGCTGGTAAGGCTATTTGTGTTGGAATCATCACAATTTTCTTGCTATTGACTTCACAACAGTAAATACAAATAGATATAATCTGAAGGGAGGATGCACAGTATAAGAGAGGAAAATTTCAATAAGTGTGTGGTAGGTGAGACAAAACTAAACTTTTGATTGACACAAATGTTGTTGGAAAAATACTGCTTCTTTAGTTTCTAAAGCATTTCTGGGTTTAAGAATTGGCTTCAGATACAAATAAAGATTAATAAACTCACTCACCTGTACTAGACACTTTTTCATTTGTTTTTGTTTTTTTTTTTTTTTTACTGTCAGTTCAAATTAGAGAAATAGTCCAGAGAATTGTGAGATTTTAATACACAGAATTGTGTGAGGAGGGTTTTGTTGTTGTTATAATAAATTTTTTTCTGTAACAAGGTAAAAATAGTCCTAGTCAGGTAAGGCAACTAATACCCTTCTCTACTTTCTTCAGGAAAACAGACAGCTTTTGAATGAGAGGATTAAATTAGAAGGCATTATCACAAGAGTTGAAACATACCTCAATGAGAATCTGAGAAAACGCTTGGACCAAGTAGAACAAGTAAGGGTTTTCTTTCAGATGTACTTTTGCAGTCTGGGTTTGGTTTATTTCTAGGGCTAACACATATAAATCATAAATACTTATTTGTTAAACTGCATTATCTGTGGTGGGATTTGCTCCTCTAAGTAGAAACCAAGTATTCCTTTGAATTTCAGCGAATTTTTGATAAAAACTACTGTGAATACACAGCCTGTGTACCAGCAGGACTATCATAATGAGAGATTTGTTTGAAAATCTAACTATTCTCTTAGAACATCATGAAAATATTGAATAGTATAAGTATGTAATAGTTATATGTAGAGTAGCAGAAGATTGTTTGTCTGGCTTATGTTCCCATTCATGCTGAAGCCTGGTGGCATTTATTTATCCCATAGGAACTGAATGAGCTTCGAGAAACAGAAGGTGGCACAGTTCTTACTGCCACAACATCAGAACTTGAGGCTATCAACAAACGAGTGAAGGATACACTGGCACGGTCAGATGGTTGGTAACATCATGTTTTGGAAAGAAAACTCTCCAGGGTTCTGAAAGTTCACGCATACCATGTTTGATTTAGAAATAGACCATAATGTAATTGACTTGTGTTGGTGGTAATGGGCTTCTGGCTTGAGGGTGTGCTACTTGTAAGGCAACTGTCCTACAAGCAAGATCTTGTATAATTGCTCCTGAATTTTGCCTAACCCATTTAAAACTCAGCTGCTGTTAAACAGGCTATCAAATCTGGTTTGAAACTTCTTTTGCTTCTCTTTCTACACTTAACAATATGAGTACATTTGTTTGGGGTTTTTTTAAGCCGTATACTCATGGGGAAGAAAAGAGGGATTTTCAGCCTTTTGCCTGAACTTTAACCTTCTGTTCCTTAATAGATCTTCTTTACTCGATCTTTTTTTTCATAAATACTTTATTGGATAATTGCTGATCTTATAGAGGCGTATAAAACATACAGCTTTGGGTTTTGTACTCTTGCTCCACATTGCAGATCTGGATAACTCTATTGACAAAACAGAAGCAGGAATTAAAGAACTTCAGAAGAGCATGGAACGTTGGAAGAACATGGAAAAGGAGCATATGGATGCTATTAACCATGATACAAAAGAACTTGAAAAAATGACAAACAGGCAAGGCATGCTCCTCAAGAAGAAAGAGGAATGCATGAAGAAAATACGAGAGTTGGGTTCACTTCCACAGGAGGCTTTTGAAAAGTATCAGACTTTAAGTTTAAAGCAGGTAATTAGTGTGCTTGGTTTCATGTTTTATGACCTGAAACATTAGTGCCACCTGCATCTTTAGTGCCAAGTGTGGCTAGAATTGCAAGTCACTTTGATGTGTTAATGTTTTCCGTTTACAGTTATTCCGCAAGCTGGAGCAGTGCAATACTGAACTGAAGAAATACAGTCACGTTAATAAAAAAGCTTTAGATCAGTTTGTGAATTTCTCAGAGCAAAAGGAAAAATTGATAAAAAGACAAGAGGAACTGGACAGGGGCTACAAATCCATCATGGAGCTGATGAATGTCCTTGAGCTCAGGAAATATGAGGCTATTCAGCTGACTTTCAAGCAGGTAACAAAATGGGAACAATTGTAAAGACACTGGTGCTGAAATCAATCAAGTTGTCCCATGGTGTAGCAGCAATATGAGAAGAAGAGGATACTAAATAAATCTGTACAAAGAGAAGGCAGTGTCATGTAACTTGAGGCTTGTGGGTTTTTTAAATACTGAAAAATAAAAAAGGCTACAATTTTCAATATGTGCCCATCTCCAATTCAACTCTAGCTTTGCTTTAAATTTCTTCAGTACTTCCTCTCAAGTGAGTTGCTGTATACTTATGTACAGCCCTTTCTGGGAACTGTGACGAAAAACTGCAGCGAATCCCTTCTCCAGATTTAGTGAAAGTAATATAATGCTAACAAAGAATCTTAACTACAAAATGTGTGAAGTGTTCTCTTTAAAGGTTTTTTGCTTAACTGAAGGTTACTAAATAAATCTTGTTTTTGCTACAGGTCTGTGTTTTAATTGTACCATTTTCTTGGAAAAAATTTTGAAAATTCTCCTACTACAAAAACAGTTGTTTTAAGCCAAGCTTTGTACAGCATACATTTCTTAATCCTGCTTAAAAACATGATCTCTTCTTAGAAGCAGATACTTTTTGTGTTCATGCTACAGCACTTGTCTGCATTTGATTTCACTCTGTAAAAAATGAGTAGGTTTTGATGAGTAGGTTTCACTTTGTAAAAATGAGTAGGTAAAAATTACTTTCTTTTTCAGGTGTCAAAAAATTTCAGTGAAGTATTCCAAAAGTTAGTACCTGGTGGCAAGGCCACATTGGTGATGAAGAAAGGAGATGTGGAGGGCAGCCAGTCCCAGGATGAAGGTGAAGGCAGTACTGAGAGCGAAAGGGGATCTGGATCTCAGAGCAGTGTTCCATCTGTAGATCAGTTCACTGGAGTTGGCATAAGGGTAAAGAAAAACATTTGTTTTTTAGTCCCTTGAATGTTTGTTTGGGTTGTCTTTTAACTATATTTTTAAAGGGCAGCATTTCGTTGATCCTGTTTGTTTAATAGCAAGTGATGCTGTGTTTTAGTGTTTTGAAATTATCTTGCTGTTGCATTGTTTTCTTAGGTATCATTCACAGGAAAGCAGGGTGAAATGAGAGAAATGCAGCAACTTTCAGGTGGACAGAAATCTTTAGTGGCCCTGGCCCTAATATTTGCCATCCAGAAATGTGATCCAGCTCCGTTTTACTTGTTTGATGAAATCGACCAAGCCTTGGATGCCCAGCATAGAAAAGCTGTGTCAGGTACTTGTCTACCTTTAACAGTCATTGTTATGGTTGAAGATAATAGTTTGTCTTCTTGTCCCTGATGTTTAAGAATAAAGCTTTTGATCATAACCACATTTTTGAGAAGCCCAGTGTGTTTGGGGAAGTTTTCATGAACTTGGTTTTATGTAGAAGCTCTGTTCTCTTACTACATCTCAAGGGTTTCCTTATTGCAATTCGCTGTGTTTGAAAATCAGTCGTGTTTTGAAGTATATTTTGTTTTTAAAAGTTAATAGAAAAGCGCTTACTCTGTTTTTCATCATAGAAGTTCAATATCTTACTAGGTTTGCTGAGTGGTTGGACTTGTCAGAGTTCATACTGGAATTAATGAGAATACTTGTATGTATTATCTGGGAAATAAAACTGGTATAGATACTTCCTTGATTTATGGGGTTTTTGCTTCATTAACAAAAAGCTTATTTTGATTAAGACAAAGAGTTTGCTATTTTTGTCTGTCTCACTTTGTTGAAAATACTACTTTAATAAGGAATTTTGTGTTCTTTTTTAGATATGATTATGGAACTAGCTGAACATGCTCAGTTTATTACAACAACTTTTAGGCCAGAACTGCTTGAGTCGGCTGACAAGTTCTATGGTGTAAAATTCAGAAACAAGGTAAGTAGTATGATAGGCTTCTCAGTAAACACTATAATTAAGACAAGTTGTGCATTTGAGACTTAGCAAGAGTTCAGAGTGAATGAGACTCACTTCAGCTGATAAATTTCTATTTGTGACACAGTCTTCTATAAAAATTCTCTCGTTCTTGAAAGAGAATTTAAATACTTGCAGATGTCCCGTGTCACATTCTTTAAAGCGATTATAAATTGATAATAGACCTGTTGCTGAGTCCTGGAGCCTTCAGAAATGTCTGTCTTATTCTGCAGGAGGTACTGTAATAACTGAATGATTCTTTGTTCCACCAGGTCAGTCATATTGATGTGATCACAGCAGAAATGGCCAAAGACTTTGTAGAAGATGACACCACGCATGGTTAAAGAAACTTGTAATTACTGCTTATTTGGAAGATGTGTATAGTGCTATGTTTATGCCAGGGACCTGTACATTTAAAAGAGGAAGTATTTAGTCCTTGTTTAAAATAGTTTTTGAACACACATTTTAACCAAGACCCCAGAAGGCTTAGTTTCAAATGAGCTTGAGTATCCATTTTGTCTCTGTTGCTGTATTTTATAAGATAATTGTTAATGTTACCTTTATACAATACTTGTAGTTTGGAAATTTTATTCTCTTCCTTCAAATCTTTTGTAAAGTGTTTGTTGCTGTTTTAAAGCTTTTCAAAAAGTGCTAGCTATTACTTCTTAAGTATAGTTTTATCATTTATATTGCCTCACTTTTTTTTTAATGGCTTCAATTAAAATGGTTGGTTTTATGGCTGTAAGTTGTATATATTAAATTTTTGGGTTATATTGTCTTTCTGAAGAGGAGTCCATTGAGATGGAGTAAACACTTCAGTCATATTGAAGTGGCATATTTCAGAATATGAGACAAAGCAATTCTCCCAAGCCACTCTTCTTTTTTCCCCTCTTCTGCACATTGCCAGTGCCAGAAAAAAACTACCCCAAATCTCTGCTTGTCCAAATCCATAGTGTTCTGGTTATTGAACTGAAAAAAGGTAAGTATCAGAGAATCCTGAAAAGTCTGAAAAGACCCTAGAACTGTGTCAAAACAAATCACAGCCCCTTCTTTTCCTGCACATTGTCCCGTGTAACAGCCCTTCCATTACATCCCGTTACAAGACCAGTGTTACTTGAGCCAAGTAACAGTCCCCAGTCAAAGTGAAATCTTTTCCTGCTGTCCACAGTTTTGGCCAAGGTATATTGAATAGTTTGATGTGTTCTCCTGGAACACTTAAGGATTTACCACAAACCATGAATTTCCTAGGTAGCAAAGCAGTTGTAAAAAGAGAATCTCTTGATGTTAAAATAGTACACTTACAAAAACATAGTAACCTTAAAGAATAGCTTAGGTGCTTTCAGTAGTAAAGTGAGAAACAGTGACTTTGTATGTTGCATTTATTCTGTGTAGGGCATGTTCAACAAAGCAGAAGAATAAAGCTCTCTGATAGGTTTTGATCTGTACACACTTTTGCTCCCCACTGAGAACTTCAGGAAGTGCAGGACAGGAGAGCATGAACTGATGGCTGTGCTCAGGAATGCTTATCCTTGCATCACAAGGTAGGGTGAGAGAAGAGTGCTGAAGCTGATATGGAGCAGCTTCCCCAGGTAGTGATAGACACGTGGGAAATTACTATCTGCAGTAAGTCTTAAGCCAGGAGGAGGAGGATGTTGAGACATAAAGCTTTCTATAGTTCCAGGGACTCAGTAGGTGCAGAGAAGACTCCTCTCAGTGAAGAGAGAAGTACAAAATGTGAAACAAAGTATCCCAAATGCCCCCAAAATTTCTAGCATGGAAAGAGACTATATTTGAGAACCCTGAAGAATCTGAAATTTGTCCCCTTCATACAGAGCTCTCAATACACATGTTAGGGTGGCTGCTGCAGACCAGAGTGTTCCTGAATTACTCACTGGTGAAGCCAGTGAGTTCAGAGAAGGACCCAAAGAATGTGGCCACGGGTTAACATCTCAGGTTACTGATTTGGTGCTGTTTGGTCCAGTGTGTGTAAGAACACACTTGAGGAGTCTAATCCATGACCAGCAGATACATAACTTGCTGTAGTAGCAGCAGCCTCTGCTCACAGCTCACTGATTAGGCTTGCTAGTGCTAGGATATCAGCCTAACAGTTGTTTGAATTTTGGAAGAGAGAAGTAGTTCACATGCCATGAAGCTAATTACTGTGCTTATTAAGAAGTGTCATACTAAATCCATCTAAGACTGATCATGAATTTTATCACATAATCTCATTAAAGTGGAAGTAGATTAGAGCAAGGGGTTTTGTTTTGGTGATTTTTTTTTCTACAATGCACAGCCTAGAGAAGCCTAAATACAGCTTAGTGTCTTGAACAACTTCAGCTGTGTTAGGAGATCTCTGGGTTGGGTGTAGCATTAAGTTGGGTTAGCAAGCACAGCAGGAAAATGGGTAACCAGCAATCTGGTGGAAACAACTGAGCCCTATTTTGGTAACAGTGCAGAGGAACAGTAGGCCTTTAGCTGTAGGCCTTTAGCAGTTTCTCATCTGCTAAAGAATAAGGTTTGAACTACTTGCACAACATTTGAGAGATTCATCAAGAGTTTCAGGATCCCTCTTCAAGGTAAGTTTGGAGGGGGGTGGTGGTTTTTTGTTTAAATGCTGCTAAATTTCATTCTGCCCTTGAAAAGGCATGTTTAGAGACTACTTTCTAAGTTGATACTTTGTTGCCCTGTGAGCATACTCCTTCCCACATGCTCCTTTTGGTTGCTGTGATGCCTCTGTCGTGTAGCCAGTGTGAAAAAACAGGATTTCACCAGTTGTTTCATTGGGTGTACTGACTGTGTTGCAGTAATGTTGGTACACATGGGACTGGCATGGAAAAGGCTGAAATAACCTCCTCAAGATTTCAAAGTACAGCCCCTAAAGTGCTGTGAATGCCCTGCAGTGAGCTTGGGTTGCTAAATTAGAAGCTACAGTTAGAATTAAAGAGGGCCTCAAACAGGGATGAAGTCAGACAGATTATGTAGCAAAATCCATGTCCACTTATTGAAAAATTATTGAAAAATTAATTGGATGGAAGAGAACTGCATGAAAGTAGGAAAAGTAGAACCTCATTTGTTGCTGAATTTTTTAAGGAAAGTTCTTATACGAAGGTGAAAGTATTGTTAAAAATACCAGTACTTATAACCTAAAGGAGGTTTTTTCCCCCAGACTGTTGTTAGGTCAGGAGTAGCAGAGTTTTCCTTGCTGTTTGCTTCAGATTGCTTTGGAATGCAGTGATTGGAGTAATGTTTCCAAGGTGGATGATCCTGTGTTCTCTTTGTAATGGTTCATATTTGCTCCATACAACATCAGAATTTACAAGTTGCCTTTTCAGGCTGTCAGTGCTTTAAATTTCCTAGAGTTTTAAAAATAAGCTTTGTTGACTGCATCCCTGAGTTTCTTCAGTGTCCTGGTTTTTCCATCTGTAATTTTTAAAGGCAGAATTCAGTGAAAATACGCACTTGCTGTGAAATGTAGGGCATGTCAGAAATTGTAGATATCTGGAGTGCCACTGGTTCCACCAACATAGGTGTTCAGTTGTACTTAATTATCAATATGTGAAACTTAACACCTGAGTCACTGATCACTTCTAATATCTTAGGATAGTTTTCATCTCTAGCAAACATTCTTCAAGTACTTTGTAAGATTAACACCTTTGAGGTTCACATTTTTAAGCTTATCTAAATGTTACAATATGTAGTTTGTAACTTTGAGCAGGAGATGGAGCCAGACTGGACTAAATGTAAATTGGAAGTTTGCTTTATTGTTAAAGTTGAGGGTTAATTCATAGCTTTCCTGTGAGGATTTTTGGAGTTCCAGAGACTCTAACAGTTGTTGTGAGGATTCTGAACAAATTGAGAAATACTAGGTACAGATAGTTTTACATACACATGCATGTAAGTAAAAGGAAATAATTCACAATTTTTGCTTTAAAAATTTATAAAAGCCTTTAACATTTTAATAATTTGCTAAAATGTCCTTATTGGGTAGAATTTTGCCAATCTAGAAAAAAGTCTATATAAATTTATGTAAAAAGAAACATTGTTCAAATAAAGTAAAAATTGAAAAAAATATCACAGAGGTACATGATTCTGGTTCCTCTATGAGAAATTACTAATAATTTTTCCTAGTGAATGAGATCCTTGTTCTCTTCATGCAGATGAGCTTGTGGGTGTGGGAGGTGATGATTCCCAAGGCACCAGTGATCAGAGGGGGTGGGCTTCTCCTGTTAAAGTTTGTCAAATTGGAGGTATGAAATGAGTTACCCTGACTGCTGAAGTCAGTAACTGCTGGGGTCCTCTCAGCTGCTCCTCTTTGAGTGTATTTTTCCATAGGCACACAAGAGCACAGCCAAAGAACAGCTGCTCTGTGTTTGGAGCACCAGGTTCTGATGGATAACAGTTCTTCAACTGGGGGGAAAATAGCTGTTGATTTTGCAAGCTGAGAGTCTTCAGACACTGATCTTTATTTCCAGCATCTGCTTGCTTTCTTCCTTGGACACAATGGATGCTTTTACAGTCTCACTAACAGCCAATAAAAGTATTCTCAGTAACAAGATGAAAATATTTTTTCATATTTGTGCTAATATTCACTTCACCAGTGATAGCATATTAACCCCAGGAGGGTTATGAAAGAGGAAATTTGGTTTTACAGAAAAGCAAATATGTAGCCACTTCCTTCTAGTGCAATTGTAAATGTATTTGAGGACTATTTTAGTTGGAGGTGTTTCTCACCTCAGTCCTCCTGGCATTGCATCCCTTTTCTCCCTTTTACAATCAACTGAAGTATAGAGGGAAGCCGAATTAGGCTGAGATCCTTATTTCTGGTTACTCTGCTTTTTTCCTCCTTTGGTGTCATTTTTACTCTTTCCTTCTTGATCTCTTTAGTTCCCCATATTTTGGCTGTGGCCACAAGAGGACAATTCTTGGGTTTGGTCACCTTGACTGTCTTGAGTTCAGCTTTTTGATTTTAGTTTTCTGCCTATGTATTTTGTTTCAGGCAAACATTTCTTACATAATGCAGCAATAGTGATGACAAAAATCATTGTTCAGTTGTCCTTGACATTTTTATTTTTTTATTTATTAAGTACCTCAAACTTCTGTTTGCTAATTCAGATAAGAGCTTGTAATTTCTTACTGTAGTCATGGCTTGCATTTGGGATGGCTTAATTCCTCTGTGGGGAAATGTAATGATGAGAAATGACATGCAGGTTCTCAGGTTCTGATGCCTGACAGTTCCCACCATTCTAGAAATGAGATTTACATCGGGTGGGATGAGCATTTAGACCTCTCTTCTGCAGCTATGCCTATTAGATGTTTGTTGGGTTACGGGATGTCAATGATATAGAATCTGCGTGTACTGGGCTTTAAATAGGAGGCATTCCAGACAGAGCATGTGTTTGAGTCAGAAGTACATCTAATTGCTGTTGATATCATTAAAGGTTGTAGGCAGATGCTGCTGGAGCTTTGAGCACAATGAAAATCTGCCTCTGTTCCTTCACAGGTTTTTCTACTTACATTTTGAAGGATAAAAATGCATCCATGACCTTCAGTGTTCAGATCTGGCCAGCTGGATGCAGGCCCTCACAGTGCAGAGGAAAACATCCCCTTGCTTAAACTGGGGGAAGTCAGCTTGTGAATGAATTTCTGGCCAGTTTTAGAATTCACACATGTAAATATTGAGTAGCTGGGATCTCTCAAATACAGCTGTAGTTTGCAGCAGTGGTTACTTGGGAATAAATTGCATTC